CTGCCCCGGGCTTCCTGGAATCAGCCGCTGATCAGTTTCAGCAGCAGCTGACTTGGGGATGCCTGGGGTTCTTAAGTTGAATCTGTATGTAAGTCGGAACTGGTGTCCAGACTGATCAGTTTCAGCAGCGGCTGAATCTGGACGCCAGTTCCGACTTACATACAGATTCAACTTAAGAACAAACCTACAGTCCCTATCTTGTACGTAACCCGGGGACTGCCTGTATATGCAAATAGCTCCTTTCACACTGACGGGCATGAGTACAAAGCACTTCCCACAATGCTCTGGCGCTCCTGGCATCTCCTCACTGGAGACTAGAAACACCGACACCCTGTACCTGTCTGTTCCAGCAGCCTGTCCACTTGCGTCTTTCAATGCTCACCCCACCTGGGAGATGCCTTGCCATTGTGGAGCATGTTCTCAGTGGCCGTGTGTTGAGCCCCACGTAAACTCAAACTGCACCGCAGGCTGCAAACAAATGCACCGTGTGTTGAGTAGCCCTGTTCTAGCCAGTGGATTGTGTGATATTTTCTCTGCTAGATTGAAGGCCATGTTGTTAAGTAGTTTCACAGAGATGGCCATGTTAGTCTGTTTCAGCAAAACTGAGGAATCTGGTGGCACCTTGAAGACTAACACATTTTATTAGGGCATAAGATTTTGTGAGTTGCAGCCATAGGTGCTGGGACTAGTGGTGTGGGGGGTGCCGCATCACCCCCTTGGCTTGAAGTAGTTCCCATTATATACAGGATTTACAGTCTGATTCTGTGGAACACAGCAGCCCCCATTATAAAAGTTGTTTGTGCCCCTGGTTGCCGCTCATTTAGTCAGACAAATAAAGTGAAAGAATCAGATGATTATTATTAAATATTTACTCCTGATATTTCTAGACTGTAATCAAGTCATTCCTTATCCTTCTCTTTGTTAAACTAAATATATGGAGCTTCTTGAATCTATCATAAGGCTTGTTTTCTAACTATTAATCTTTCTTGTGGTTCTCTGAACTAGGGATGTTAAATATCATTTAATCGAATAGTCGATTAACCACATGAATTCTTATTGGTTACTTGACTATTCTATAGACTCTGGGTGAGGGGCTGGCAGCCAGTGTGCTCCAGCCCTGCTCCCGAAGAGTCCCCCTGCCACTCTGTGCTGCTGCCTCTGTATCAGAGGGAGCAGCATGGGGTGCTAGGTGGGAGCTGGTCCATGAGGGGAGTCAGTTTAAAATCCAGCTCCCGTCACAGACTAGTTGTCTGTCGCCTTGTACAGAGGGCTTAGCTCCTGGATCTGGCTCAAGCCTGAACTGAGCCAGCCTGCCTGCCCACTTGGCTCCTAATACACTTTAAATGCAGAGTCACAGCGGGGGTAGGTCCTGGACCGGGCGTGAGCCAGGACTGAGCCGGGCTGCTGGCTAGCCTGCTAAAAAATTAACTGGCAGGAGAGTGGGGAGGCAAATGTGTTTAGTCTATACCATTAAGGTGACCAGAATTTGAAAATGTGCGAGGAGGACACTGAGTTGACAAAAAAAAAAAAAACTTGTATATGTATATAAATAATCATATAAATAAATGATCACGATATTAGTCATCTTATAAGACAAACAGACCTAACAAAAACAATCATGTAACATTAAAAACATCAATATTTGTCGCTCTTTTAAGAAATTAAAAATCTCGATCCATTTTTTATCAATTTCGCGTTCAGTCTATTCATTGTCTTTTATTATATTGTTAATTCTTCGTACTTCGTCGAACAATAATTTGTCGGTTATTGTGATGCTAAATTTTCCTTTAATGAATAAAACTGTTTCAAGGATTTTATTCCATAGAATTTCTTCATTCAGCAGAATCCAATCAAACACATCATGCTTAGTCCATGCTTAGTTTATCATGCTTAGTCCAATTTTCTAGATATTCAAGAGCATTTTTATAAAAGCTCATCGCCTCCCTCATAAATTCTTTCTTCATTCCTGGATTGCTCTCTTGTAATTTGTTTAAATTAGTAATTACAACCAATGGAAGGAAGTTGGACGCAAGACGTGATTGAAGTTGCTCCTTGAATTGTTTAATATGCAATCCCACTTCTGTAGAAGTTATATGCTCTTTTTCAATACTTTTTATAACTGACTGGAACAAAGTTGTTTGCGAACAAAATACAGAGTTATTTTAGCAGATTCATTCTTAAAAAAGTTTGTCAAGATCAGTGGACATTTTTCCAAACTTAGAAAATATTATTTTAAAGGCTTGAACAATTGCAGCACTCGTTCAATGGCTGGTGTTAAAGCTAACCGTCTTGTTTTCGAATATCCCAACAGTTTTTTATATTCAACTGAAGCTTTTTTGCAAAAGGTCTTTAATGATATAACTCTTACAGTGAATCATTCAAAATGTAAATAAATTTGAGGTATCACAACTTCAGCATCGATGGACATTAAGCTTGATGCTATATTGATGGTATTAGATGCAATATGGGAATTGCAGCCGATTCCAATAATCGTTTTCCCAAGTAAATGCATCACTTTCTTATGAACATTTTTATCGCCTTTGCGATTTATACAGCCAAAATTAGTATTTGTGTCAATGTCAACTAAAAAATCACATTGACATTAAATTAAAATGGCTCAAAATAAACAATGTTTCATATATACCCTCTAAGTGTACTTTTACTGTATATTAAGCCTTTTAACAGGGGTTCAATTGCAGTGTAATGATACTTTAAAAAACAGCGGGATATATTTTTTTGGCAAAGTAGGACAAGAAGGACAATTTTTTTTCAAAAGGAGGACATAATTATTGGGGAGACAAGCCCAATAGGAGACAAGCCTCCTCAAAGGAGGACGTCTGGTCATCTTAATACCATTAACCTATAAGCGTATGCTGATCGGTTAACTGACTATACTGTTACATCCCTACTCTAAACCTTCTCCAATTTATCAATATTATGTTGAAATGTGGTCACCTGAATCAGATATAGTGGCACTAGTGCAAAATACAGAGATAAAGTAACCTGTCTACTCCATCTTGAGATTCCCGTTAATGCATCCCAGGATCCCATTAGTTCTTTTGGCCACTGTGTCACACTGAAGACACGTTAGTTGTTTATCCACCACAACCCTCATATCTTTGCAATCTTTTTAGTATGCAAAAGAAATTCAGATGGTATATAAACTCGGTTATCTCAAAATAACTGGGCTGTTTGCTTACATTTGCATTTTTGTTAATTTGAAAAGTCTAGCAAAAGATTATTTTTTAAAATTAATGTGTAATATCTGCAGTAGTATGCTTGATTAAAATGTATAATGTTTATTAATGCTGATGCTTCACTGTATAAACTGAGCACTCAGTGGATTCTAGGGATGTTAAAAATTGTGTTAGGGATGTTAGGATAACCGTGTAACTGTCGGAAGATAACAGAGGTTATATTGTTACCCACGCTACGGGCTCTGCAGTATAAAGCTTATATACTGTCAGCCCGGCTCCCGGGAAGGTGGCTTCGCTGCGGCAGCAAAGCCTCCTCCTGGGGAGCAGAGCATGCAGCTGGCTGACTGTAACCGAGACCATTAACCAAGAAGCATCAGCTTATCTTAAACGGTTATTCGGTGATACTCTAACATTCCTAGTGGATTTAGGAAGCAATTAGCTCCCAAGTGTGCATTTTGTGCCTTTGTCTGAAGCAGCCAGTGATTATCACTGTAAAAAGGACAGGGCACCAAATAAGGTAAACCAGAGTTCTGTTCCAATATAGAATTGATATAATTAAATACATTTGCTGTGGTTCTCTACTATGTTTACATGTTTGGCATTGTATATTCAAGTCTGATACGCTACTTTAAGCTTTGAATAAATGACAAATGACTTCCTTTTCAAATTGAGACTTATTATAGTTTTAAACTGTATAATTATTTACTTTGGCTACAATTATGAAAATAAAATGAACTTGGCGTGCTCCTAGCCATTAAACTCTGAATTAATAATTTGTTCAGATTCCCACATGATTTATAATGTCTTAGAGTTGGGAGCAGAGAAGCCAAACTGATTTTGTACTCTAGTTTTATTTGGGTTTACGCTTTTTGAACAAATGAATACCTATTATAAGTTTGATTATTATGTATATCTTTCTATTATGTATATCCAGTCCTGTGCGGGGAAAACAGAACATATTTCCAGGTTAAATTTACAGAAACATCAAAGATGTTGAATTAGAGCCAAAACACTTTGTTTTCTTTCTCTTATGTGCTGTGGTTTTGCAATGTGTGTGATTAAGATCTTTGTACTCCTTGTACCAGTATAGCAAGTGATGGATGAAGCTTCTTTAACTTTTAATTTTTAAATCTTTCTTGGTGTACCCATAGTGTCCAATTTAACTTTAAATTAAATGTCTAATTCAGAGTATTTTATTTTCTTCTGTCACATACAAATAAGAGGTCTTACAGAAGGTTGCATATATGAAGCTGTAATATAAAAATATAGTTAAATAATGAGTGTGTATAATCAAAACAATTGCTCCTGTTCTGAAAACCACAGCAGGAGTGGTATTTAAGAGAGATCATTTATTTTTCTTTGCTGAAATTCCATGCAAAATACCAGAAGTGCAAGAGAACTCTGTTTAAGCACCAGGCCCCCGCTGCCATGTCACTCTACCCTCAATCATAAAACATTTCTTGAGCACCTCAGATGAAGATTAAGAAGTCCCAACTCTTAAATACAATCTGGGTGGAACAGATGGAGGAAAAGGGAAACCTAACAAAATGCTCTCCAGCTCCAAGGGTTCGTCTACTTTGGCACGTGTCTTGTTGAGTTGTTAATTACATTTCAATAGTTGGTTCATTATACTTACCAAGTATTTCAGTTGAATTTATTTTTTTCTGAGTATAAAGTGTAATTATTTCAGCCTCTGACTCCATGTAAACTAGAAAATATCTGTGCAGTGAAATGGAACTAAATTGGCACATCAACTAAAGAACACTCAACTGTCTTCAAACTACAAAAGACAGTATAGTCAGCTATAAGAAGTATGTTGGGGCTCCCATTTTAACACAAAATCCTGGTTTGTGATAGGGATGTAAGAGTTTTAACTGGTTAACCTATAAGCTGATGCTTATTGGTTCCTATTAGCATTTAAACTCTGCTAGAGAGCATGAGGCCAGCAGCTCAGAGCCCACAGGGCCAACAGTCAGGAACCCTCTAGTACCCTTACCTCCCTACTGCTACATGCCTAGGTAACTCATGTAACCGACAGAATTTTGATCAGTTACACAGTTACTATTTTTATACATTGTTTTACATCCCTAGTAAGTGAGGCCATTTTGTGTGTGGAGAGTGTGTGTGTATGTGTATGCATGCTTGGGCACTAAGTTTTATCCTAAATTGTGAAGAAAACAGTGTTTTTTCCTTCTGTAATGAAATGGATGCTACTCACACAAGATTTCTCCTTTAAGTGAGATGTGTTTAATCGTTTACATCAGTAACTTTGCTGAAATGCAACCACTGTCTAATTTTGGTTCATCATATTACTGCTATAATTTAACATTGAATTACCAGCCAAGCAGTTACTATTTTTTGGACCTCATCATGCTTAAGTACATTATTTTGTAATAATATTAGAATTGAACAAAGGCAGGTGCCGTTCTCCTTTAAGTGAGATGTGTTTAATCGTTTACATCAGTAACTTTGCTGAAATGCAACCACTGTCTAATTTTGGTTCATCATATTACTGCTATAATTTAACATTGAATTACCAGCCAAGCAGTTACTATTTTTTGGACCTCATCATGCTTAAGTACATTATTTTGTAATAATATTAGAATTGAACAAAGGCAGGTGCCGTTCTATTTAATAGCCTGACTTCAACAAACACATGTATGATATGTTGTGGAATATCATCATATTAAAAGGTCAGGCTTTTGTGTGGTACATTTTCCACATTTATTCTAACAGTTAAACTTCTTCTACATTTAATTCTACTCTGTTTACATTCTTTTAAAACAGAAATCTTCTTCCTGGGCTGAATCATACCGAGCCCAGCAATGTGCTGTTTGAGGAATAATACCAAGAAATTTCCTATTACATTAGATGCTCGTGTAACATTTTGTTCTACAATATAAACTTGTTTCAAAGCGCTGAACTGTAGCATCTATTCCTGCGCCTTGACCCCACAGCTCTGCCTAGGACACTGCTTGCCTATCGTAATATTTGGAGTGGCAGAGTACAGGTATAGGAGGGAAGAGGTGCTCTCCAGCTCCAAGGGTTCGTCTACATCGGGACACTCAGGAAGGTTAATCTGAGTTAATATAAATGGAAATTTAAAGCAAAGTCGTTAAACAGCCCTAACCCCTGTTTGGACACATTTATTCAAAACTGAAGTGTCCTTAATTGGGTTTATCTTAATTTACTTTTTAAGCGATATCAGAGCCGGAACAACCCTGAATTTCATCTAGAGACTCCAGGAGATTTGGAAACCCACAAAAGAAATTTGAGATGAGCTCAATGTTAGTAGTAATAAAGAGCAACTGTTTGTCTCACTGTGTGCACTTAGCATTCTAAACACTGGGCCGAGCAACTAATGTTATTCAAACTCTGTCTGACCTTTATCTTTCCAAAATCTGCTCCTAGCCCTTAATGGTTTGTACTTGCTGGGAAGTGAATTGATTTGCAGTGTAAGTTTTTTAATTAATTGAAGATCCCAACTGTTTGTTAAAAGCATGTTTTTAAAGTCCTTTCAAAGAACACTATTCAGGCATGTCACTGTAAATGAGTCATCAGTTGTGCTAAACCTTTTGATTTTGCAGAGAAACTGGAAGCCTGAGTAGGCTGATGACATCTTTAAGAGAAAATGTATTAGGCAGCCCCAAGGAATTGCTAAAATTAAGTGTTCCATCTGTGGTGTATGCAGTCCAAAACAACATGGCTTTCTTGGCTCTTAGCAATTTGGATGCTGCCGTCTATCAGGTAACTGGCACTATTATGGTTAGGGACCAAAACACAGAACTCCTGTTTTTACTCATTTTCAGGTTTTTGAGGGGTTTTTTTTGTTTGTTTTAATTCCTTGTAAAACCTTAGACTTTTATTTATTTATTATTATTCAGGCACCGAAAAGTGCTCATTAAAACACACATATCAGGATAGATGCTGAAAGACATGACGCACCGGGAAGCCCACAGGCAGGAGATGCTATCTTTCACCAGGAAGTCTGGTTCCCCCCCCACCCCCGAAGAGTGAATGTCTTGAACAAAAGACAAGTTTTTAATAGGGATGTTAAAATGCATTTAATTAAGTAGTTCTGTAACTGCTGACATTTTGCATGTGGGGGCCGACAGCTCCCCAGCTGGTGCATGTGAGGAGACAGCTTTTAAGCAGTCTCCCCATGTGCATTGGCTCCTGACTGCTTCCCGATGCAGCAGCGAGGAGGGAGGGGGCAGCCAGCTCCCTGTGCGTACCAGGAGTCTGCGTGTAATCATGCACGTTAACCAGTGAGCCCAGGCTTATCGGTTAACCGCGTACACAGTTACACTTTCACATCCCTAGTTTTTAGGAGGTATTCAAATAAAGTGTGTGTATGGGACGCGGGGGCTGGTACATGATGTAAGAAAATGCAATGACAGGAATCTTTGTAGGTTTATATGAACCATGATTTACACATTTCTGTGACCGTTGATGGTTGCATTAGTAATGGAAAAAAATCCAAGTCTCTTGTAAGCATTGATTTCTTATTGGCATTCTGTGGCATTGTGTCTAGCCACACTTTTAAAAAGCTGATTACTGCACTCTTACTAAATGCAAGTAAGAAGTGAAACCTGGAGCTCATCACCTCAAGTGATACACTTTGTAATTTACAGTGCATATGAACAAGGCATGAATTTGGAGAAGTTCCTTTTAAGCAGCCTTGCCACTATATTTTTGTGTAAGGTTAGAACCAAGTTTTGAAAATTGTTCAGTGTTTTTTATCATGTTAATCATGTTGCTTAACACACTGCTGGAAGGTGCTTAAATGCAATGGTATTGAGGGTGTTACTGAATCTGTATAAAAGCGAATCATTTATTTGTAGTGTAAGTTGAAAAGCAGAATCCTAATTGTTTGTTACCGTTAATCTTTGAAACTATGTATTTAGATTTAATAGTGGAAGGAACTGAAATTAAACCTTATTGTAAGTAAACTTTCCCTCACAAACCTCTCTTACAGTTAAAGTAATTCCACTTGTGTTTATATATATATATATATAAACCCTTATGCAAACTGCATAATAAAATTAACTTCCTATACAATTAAATCTTAAAATATTTTGAAATAACGAGGTAAAGTCCTCACATACAGTATTCTACAACCATACCATGTAGATTGCTAATTACAATATTGATATGTAAAAATTCACTGTATTCACTTCATAATCAACTGTAGCTCTGACCCATAAGACACACACAAACATCACTAATATTCTATGTAAAAATACAGAAAGAAAATGCAAAGGTTGTAAAGTAAGGTACTTGAAAATCAAGAAATACCAAATTTAAGCTTACCTCTTTGTGCATATGTTAAAATACTCAAATTACACACAAATATACTGTTTCTACAGGATCCTGGCCTTTTTCAGTGCACAAGCTGATTGATATGAATGAAGAAGAGATGCAATATTTATGTTTACATAACTTATTAAAACAGAAATTAATAGGGAGACCGCACGCAGTACAGTTGCAAGCAGTCAACCCACATTTAAACAATTCCCTGCAGTAAATAACTAAAATATTTTTTATAAAAGTTAAATTCTTTGTATCCAATCCAGCCTGAGCATTAATTAAACAGTTACACTGGTGCGAATAGATTAAATCCACTAGGCATCAGAGTAATTTCAGATTCACATGGCTGTAACTGCAAGTGAAATGTAGCCCAGAATGAGTCAGGGAATTAATCTCTCTTCATATGAAATACTATATGCTGATGTCAGTGGGTAGTTGAGTTCAGTATTCTGTTACAGTTGTGATAGCATATGGTTACACGAATGCTATCTGCCATTTTCCCCTTTTTAGGTGACATATCAGTTGAAGATCCCATGTACAGCCTTATGTACGGTCCTAATGTTAAACCGTTCTCTCAGTAAATTGCAGTGGTTCTCTGTCTTTATGTTGTGTGGTGGAGTCACACTTGTTCAGTGGAAACCTGCTCAGGCTACAAAAGTACAGGTAAGCCTGATCACTGGATACTTTGTCTGAAACAGCTGGCTGCTTTGAGCCTCTCCTCTACCTATGTCGCTCATGGAGTGGTGGCTGTGTGAGACTTAAAATAATGTATGCTAGTGCCAGATGCTCCACAACTGTGCATCCATCGCTTTTTTCAGCCCTGCTGTTTCACAGCATAAAGCGTTAACTTGATCATCTACCTCAAGTTGAGTGGGGCACACACCTGTAGGGCAGCATGGAGGAACTTTTGGGGGGGGGGGATTGCGGCCAACCAGCCCTGTTCTGCTCCATCCTTGGCTCCTGAACACGGCTACATTTCCAGCTGCTTCCCCCAGCCTTCATCCTGGCTCTTGGCTGGCTGCAGTCCCAGACAAGACCCTAACCCAGACCCACTCCAGTCCTAGCCCCCGGCCCTAACCGGGGCCTTGTTCCCAGCATCGGCTCCCAACCTGTGGGGGACAGACAAAGCTACTGGAGAGCATTCGAGAATAAAGTTGGGGATCACTGCTGTGCTGATTCAGACAGGGATGTTACCCTGCCACATCCTAGCCTTTTGGGAAGAGAAGAGATTGCCACAAGTAGCATAAATTGCCACTGTAGTAAATTCAACAGCATAGAAAATAGTTCAGCAATTCACTTTTTTTAGTAATTGGTGTTGTGTACTGTAGCAATTAGAGTAAGGAACTGGGAACCAGTAATAATAATGACTGGTTTTTATAGATTGGGAAACCGAGGCACGTAGAGGCAAAGTGGCTTGCCCAGTCTCCGAGCAAGCCAATGGCAGAACTGGGACTAGAACACAAGTCTCCTTAGTTCCAATCCAGATGTCTATTCACTAGGCTATACTGCTCCCGGAGAGCTGTATTTCATTCTTAGTTCCACTCATCACAGAATCACAGAATACTTGTAGTGGAAGGGACCTTGAGAGGTCATCGAGTCCAGTCCCCTGGCCTCATGGCAGGACCAAATACTGTCTAGACCATCCCTGATAGACATTTATCTAACCTACTTTTAAATATCTCCAGAGATGGACATTCCACAACCTCCCTGGGCAATTTATTCCAGGGTCTGACTACCCTGACAGTTAGGAACTTTTTCCTAATGTCCAACCTAAACCTCCCTTGCTGCAGTTTAAGCCCATTGCTTCTTGTTCTATCCTCAGAGGCCAAGATGAACACGTTTTCTCCCTCCTCCTAATGACACCCTTTTAGATACCTGAAAACTGCTATCATGTCCCCCCTCA